TCCTCATCAATGGTGATTCCGCCGATTTCTAGGTTTTTTTTTATTTTTTATTACTCTTCTCCAAATATGTAAACTAATAATTTATCGTTTTGACTTTTGATTTATTTTGTTTAGTTCAAGTGTGTCAAAAGTATCGATTACAATTGTTTAATAGTTTCTATAAAAAAAAATATGATTTTTCGAACATTCTTCTAAAAGGTTGGGGTTTCGGAGTGAGGTCGACAACAAGGACGAGTATGAAGCTTCCTGCAAGTCTATGGCCAAGTAATTCTCATCTTCAGTTTATAACCCTAGCAAATCTGCATTTATGGGTTTCGAGTTTCACTTCAGAATTTTCGGTGGAATTCGAATAGTTTTTTCTTTTTTGGGTGAATTTTGCAGTGAAATTGATGAATTGATTGGGAAGAATCAAGTTCCAGTTCATGCTGAAGAATTTGCTTTGATAATCCTCGATCATGTTTGTCTTCTCTTTTCAATGTGGCTTCTTTAAAGTTTCAATTTTTTTTTGTTTCTTCCAAAGGGCTTCTTTGTACTATTACTTACTCATATTGTTGTTTGTTTCTGTGTTATGCGGTGCAGATGCGCCGACTTCGTTGTGATGATGCAAAAACCAAAGCGGCGGTAATGGTGTTGATGATCTCAGCCAATGTAATTGAAGATTTTTGAGCTAGAATTAGTAACTCTTGTGGTTGTAATGTGCATTCTTCCTTCTTTAGCTCTAGTCATTTTGGTATATGTTTGCAGATATTAGATATTGGGTCATGTATAGGTTTTACTTAGTCATTTTGGTATATGTTTGCAGATATTAGATATTGGGTCATGTATAGGTTTTACTTAGTTCAGGTATATATGTAATGCGGTATTTGTGTTTACTCGCGCAGAGTGCTTGTCAGCTTGGATGGTTCCCGCAGAGAGAGACTCAACAACTGTTGGCTAACATAGACTTGGTATGGTGTCGTTTCAGCTGAATGTTTGATTAGAGAATAATCAGGATTCTATGAATAATGATTTTGCCTTCTTCTTGTACAGTTGTGGAATGGTTTCAGCTCTGCTGAAAGTGTCATCCCCAGTGTAAATAGTCACCTTACTCTATTTCAGCAGGTCATAGAGAGGTAGGCTTTCATTTTCTTATGATATTTTGGGCTTATGAGGATTGAGTAATCTAATGTATTTGACAGGGGCAGTCATGTGTGTTCACTCACTCATTTATCTCAAACTAGCAATGGTACTCACTAAAACGATAACGTTGGTTTGTTTGAATCTTCTTCTTTTCTGTCTACAGGTTCTATCCATTTGTGAAGCTTGGGCATATTATTGTTTCATTTGAGGCGAAGGTGACTTTATATATTATTCAGTTCTAAGCACTTTTTTCTTTTAATGTGTGCTTTAGTTAGCTTTGTTTCTTCTGGCAGCAAGAATCAAAGACATTGGTGAAGGACTTCTATATTTCAGAGAATATGCCGCATTCTCCCAAACCGAAAATAGTATGTATTCGAATCTGAGTTACCGATGCGTTTTACTACTGTAATACTAGTCTTGGCACCAGATTTTGCGTCTTCAGTTAAGTTTGTGTGGTTGCTCATTTTGTATTGTGCTTGTGTGGTTTCTCCTGCACATAGTTTTAAGTGCAATTAAGTAAGCAGATGCATGAATGTACTTACAAGGCTTTTACCTTTCAGCTTTGCTGGTCATGTCACTGCAGCATTTTATATATTTTTGGATCTGTTTACGTACCAGCTTGTTATGCTTAACAGTTTATGGAAATTTCGCTTGCTTTTCAGGGACTATTTGTTGTTCGGACAGAAGACATAAGCAAATCTAGTTGTATTATGCATCCCCAAGAAGTCAGGTGTGTTTGGATTGCGTTCCTTTTTCCACCGACTGTTTGTGAAGCAGCTTTTGTATTTTGACTATATTGGTTTTCTTATGAAAATTACAGCTTTTTGTTGAATGGAAAGAGCGTTGAAAAGAGAGTTAACATCTCAATGGTTTGTGCATTTCATTTGTTTCTCCGACATGTCTTTGAAGTACTTACTATGTTACAAGTAATTGTTTATTGTAATTTCTTTCAGGATTCTGGGCCGCAGCTTCCAACGAATGTTACTAACCTGGTCTACCCTGGTGCAAATCTTCTGCAAGCAATAGGGTGTTTTCGAGGTTTCTATTCAATTAAGATTTTATTCATCATCTTTATTACTTCATTTTCAGTTATAACAGACAGATACCCATTTGCTATAGGTAGTTACTTCATTGTTATTGCCTTCGCGGAAGTCATGCTACTGCCCGACAAACCGTTGCTGAAAGATTATGTTCATTCTGAAGTTACTGAATCAAATTCAGGTATGTCCAATAGTATCTAGTCACTAGGAGAAGAAACTCTCTGCTTAATGTTTATTACATTTTCCATCTATGAAGTCATCAGATCTTTTAGTTGGTTTGCATTCATACAACTGTATATCGAGAACTACTCTCTTGATCAGTCTTTTACACTTTTTCTCTGTAGACTGTGACATAATGGAGGGGCCATCAAGGATATCTCTCAGTTGTCCTATCAGGTATCCGGGGGTGTTTTTCCTCTATAGCTTTATATCTCAAGAAATTGCTTTTACACTTCCCTTAACCTTAAGATTTAATCATCACCATTATAACAGCCGAACGCGTATCAAACTTCCTGTGAAGGGTCACTCCTGTAAACATCTGCAGGTGATGCTTTTTATGTTCAGCATAATAAATGATACCATCATTCTTGTTTTTCCATTGTTTAAATCATGGTGAAGAGAACTATTTCATTTAATACATAGTATTCAAGGCTCTGTTGCCATAACATGTCTTCTTAAAGTATGATTTCTTGCAAGTAAACGTTATAAATGTGTGGTATCCTTAATTGTGAAAATTGCTAGCAAAATTAGAATCTATGGAAATATTTTCCTTATCTCTTTGTGATATGTTACTTTCTGCTGTAGTGTTTTGATTTCTGGAACTATGTGGGTATAAATTTTAGAAGACCATCATGGCGCTGCCCGTATTGCAATCAGTCTGTCTGCTATACTGACATCCGTTCAGATCAAAACATGATAAAGGCAAGTTGCTTACTGCTGTTGCTAAGTGATACATCTTTTCACATCCTACACTTAAGAAACAACCTTGCCTAATATCCACAGATTCTAGAAGAGGTGGGATCTAATGCTTCAGATGTGGTTATCTCGGCTGATGGATCATGGAGGGTTGTGACGGAAAACAATGAGAATGTGGATCTTGTGCCGGAAACCACTCATGAGCATGGAGACCCAAAAAGTCTCCTAACCTCGGGTCCAACTGTTATGGATCTTACTCGGGATGAGGATGAAATGGATACATCCGGTTGCACCCAGGTCGATGAACAAAAGCCTTGTTTATCTGAGATTCGGGGTCTGTCTGATAACACATATAAGACTGCGACAGATTACACTATGCTTAACCAGTCTCCTGCTTCAGTCAACGCACTGCCACAATTGCCACAAACTTTTAATGTTTTTAGTGGGCAACAATTCATGAACAGACCTCATATTGTAAACACCCGAGACTCAGCAGCAAGACAATCCATACCCATGCCATTCTTACCAACCTCATCTCCACAAGATAGATTAGCTACTAGTACAGCCAGCCTACACACATCCATGCCTGCTGCTCAGTCTTCTCAATTTCAAGGGTCACATCAATGCCTAGGAAGAACCTCTGATTTGATGGAGAGATGGAACCACATCTATGGAAATGGCATAAATCAAACTCAGTTTCCACCCATTCCTCCGTTGCACCATCATTATGCGATGCAGGTTTGTTGTCCATATTACCCTATGGTATTTTTTGTTTGGTTGCGTAAATGTCTGGTCTGGTGGACCTACAAATAACATTTTATCGGCTGAGACATTCCATCTATCGCTTTCCAATATTTTTTCTTGTGGCTTGTTACACACTATAACAGAACCAGAGGCCTCCCAACAGGAGTCTATCCCCTGCACAGCAAAGACCGATGCTATCTTCCGTTACACATCCCCAAACTTTAGCTGTCAACTACGGAAGGGCCACTGACCAAAGACCACCAACTATGGAACAGTTCTCATCACGAGAGTTCATGAATTTGGCTTCTGCTAACACCGCAAATTGGCAGTCACAGACCCGGATGGCTACAAACTTGCAGCCACAGACCCGGATGGCTACAAACTGGCAGCCACAGACCCGGATGGCTAACACTACAAACTGGCAGCCACAGACCAGGATGGCTAACACTGCAAATTGGCAGCCACAGACCCAAATGGCTAACACGGAAAATTGGCAGCCACAGACCCGGATGCGCGGCAGCATAACGCCCGGTTCCACGGTATATGACCAGAGGATCATTCTACCTACTCAGCCGGTTAATGCGCAAGCTCAAACACTTCCTCCGCCTCAGACAACAACTTATAATAATAATATGGCTGATGAAATTCAAGCATTTTTGGCGCACCCGAGTTATTCGAATAGTAATAATGAAACGCAACCTGGAATCAGTTCATTGCCCGTGGCTGGGGGTTTTGGGGCATTGGGATCGTTCTGGTCAATGCCTCCTGAGACATGGTGATATCTCATGGCTTAGATATATAGCACATGGTTCGTTGCAGCACTAACACAATCAGTAAGTAGTATGTAGGTAGTTTTTTTGGGTACTAATCGGTTTAGGCTTCCGGTATGTATATGGGGCATGTTGTTTTCGATCTAGGGTATTCTTGAGATTTACTTAATGTGAAACAGTATGGTATTGTTTGATCCTTAGTAAAAAAAATTGGTTCTAAATCCTCAAAACCTAATCCGAAAAGTTTCATAATTTAAGCACAATTTAAAAGCACTAGTCACTAGACAAAGAAAGAGGAGATAAAGAAAGCTATAATAAATATCCTTTTGGACCTTTTCGGTGATCCTAGTCCCTAGCTCAACATTCATGAGGTTTTTTTTTTTTTTTTGGTCGACCTTTTCGATCATGAGGTCATGTTCCCCCTGCGTTTCAAAATGCATTTCTAACATTTCCTCTATTAATCCCTATCTACTACTGAATCATATGCTCTATAGACAAAAGCTCTTTCAAAATCAGTGTCAATTGAATAATATTACTCGTTTGGTTAGGCATCTGAAAGATGTTTTTGGACTAAAAAACTAGAGCATGTTAAGTTAGTTTTGTTACGCACTCGATTTCATGACTTTGAAAACATTCATCGTTCAAAAGATCTTTGATACACTACTTACTACCACCATTAGTTATGCTTGATTGTCTTCAATTCCATTTATCATTTTTCTGATATGTGTTCATGTCATTCGAACATGTACTACGAATTTATCAAGTTTTGGTTTTGAATTGTGTACCAATAAAAGTATTAAATCGGTACCATATATGGCATTTATCAACCAAATGCAAATCCTAACCTTAAAATAATTTTTTTAAAAGTAAATTAAAATCCTAACCTAATAAGTAGATCGAAGTCGTGCATGGAATTTGGTAGGTACCGCTGTTCATCATACTAAAAACGTGAAGTATTGAAATACAAAAAAAAACTCATTGATTATTTTTTTCAAATACCAAAGCTCATTTATGATTCTATCTTGTAATATTATAAGCAAAAAGACAATTATTGAGGGAAAATCAAATATGAGAATAATCGACAAGAGGACACGAAATGAATGTGTATAATAGTCTAATAGACAACCTCGTGGTGGTTTCTATGTGTATATCTACCGAATGTTAGACATCTGAAGATGAGAGAATGGATCCATTGTACTAAGCAATGATTCCAACTAAAAAAATAAAATAATACACTCACTTTTTTATCTTTAACAGATCTTGCTACTCCATTATATTCTCTATCTTGAGCTCCACTTGCTGTAACAATAATCTATATATATAATTTGTACAAATATTCCCATGCTCGTAAAGTTGTTTCTTCATATATATTTTTTTTTTTGGGGTTTAATTTCTTCATATTTTATAAACAAGTCACATCCAAATAAAACCATATAATCATGTCAGGTTTAACTCCTTTTGAACTCGATTTTTATATTGTTGGCTAACCAACAAAAAGAAGAAGAGGAGATACTGGTACTATTTAACTAAAGCAACTTTGTTATATACATACTCTTAGGAAGCAAAAATAGACCATTCACTACAAAAAGAACAGAATTATAGGCCAATATATATAATAATTTGTTTATTCAACCATCTCTTGCACCTTAATTAGTACTATTTATAGATTATTTAGGTCATCGCTTAGTATTATAGTACCCACTTTCTTCGTCACATGGAACCAATGGACAAAAAAAATTTAGATATTAAAACAAGTAAAATGGGGAAGTTTGTTTAATATACTTTAGGTAATTGCATTAAATGATAATATGTGCTATTTTCGAATAACATGTTTTTTTTTTTTACAAAATAACACCCAACTAAATAGCACCCCAATTAAGTGTTTTTTTTTTTCAACAACTGGTTTTTAGAAATAAAAACAGTTGTAATCATTCCCTTAACTAACTCTTATGATATTGATATATATCTAATATTAGACCATAATGTACATATAGACTTTAGATTACACCGTAGACTTTCTGATCTATACATTAAAATTCTGTTTTTTTAAAGACTACATATAAAAAACGTAACAACTATGGCCCGAAAAATATTTTAAAAAAGAAAAAAAAAATAGTCCGAAAAATAAGCGAAATAAATATTGTTGATGTTTTCAATGCGACTGACGTAGTTTGCATGAAACATGTTAACATGTCACATGCCTTCCGGTAAAAAATTAGAGCGATCGAATCATTTTTAGGTTTTGTATCCATCATATTTATATATGTAATCTATTTATTTCATCACATGTCACATATCTATTTTTTTTTTTTGAGACAACACACAC